CTTAGGACCCGGGTATTTACAAGACCGTCTTCTGCCACCGGTAGCCTCCCACCAACCAGTATGCTCCCACAGAGAGGGCCTTCTCAGGGTGCCGTCAGCCAGACAATGCCGGCTGGCGGCCCCCAGGGGCAGAGCATTCTCTGTGGGGGCACCTACCCTCTGGAACAAGTTGCCTCCAGAGGTACAGCGGATCCCTGACCTTCACGCTTTCCGAACTGCCCTAAAGACATTTTTGTTTCATCAAGCCAGGCTCGCCTGACCTACTCTTTTTAAAAAGAATTGTTTTAAAAAAATTAGAGGTTTTAATATAGGGTTTTCAACTATGGGCCAAATTGATTTAATTGGATTTTAATATTGTTTTAAATTTTGTATCTGTGTATTTTATTTGCTGGCTATTCACCGCCCCAAGTCCCTCAGGAGAGGGGGTGGTATATAAATATAATAAACTAATCTATAACTATAACTCCCTAGCTTTCTCCATGATCCAGTATTTGTTGGCAATTTGATCTCTAGTGTTGTGGTCTGCCAGCAGCCTACAGAGCTGGCAGCAGAGTTGGACAGTGAGGAGGTTGGGGAGGAACATTGGCCAGTCATGGAGTCTGGGGAAGGTTCAGACAAGAACTCTACATTGGAGGCAGAGAAAGGGCCATCTGGGAGGTACGTGCTGCCTCTGGAGCCTCCAGAGTCGGACCTCAGCAAGGCAGAGGAACAGGGGGAGTCTGTTCCCAGTGCACACATGCGGAGAGTTACCAGAAGGCAAGAACAGTTAAAACAAAAGGGACAACTCAGGAGTAGGGCTTGGAGATGATTGGCCCCTCCCATAAGACTTAAAAGAGGCACAAAGGCACGTGGGCCTTTGCAGGAAGCAACATTGTTAATTCTGTTCAGTTTAAAGTCTGAAGCTCTATTTGATTCTGGACTCCATGTGGCTTTACCAATTAGATCTTTGGCAGCGTGTCAAGGGAGATAAAGGTGGGTGATTATCAGCCTTATCCTAAAGGACTCTTTACAACTATTTGGGACTCATCTGTGAATCAACAGAATTCACAGCTGTTGCAATAAAAGAGGTTTTTGGGACTACTCATGTGTTTTACTGACTCAGGAAGCCTAGGTCAGAACATCTAGTTTCTTTGCCTCTTTGAAATCCTGCCTGACCACCCCATCGTGGTTATCAGGGATGTTAAGCTCGTTCTTGTCTAGTTCTTCTGTGTAATTTTGCCACCTCTTCTTAATCTATTCTGCCTCTGTTAGGTCCCTGCCATTTTGGTCCTTTATCATGCCCATCTTTGCATGAAACGGTCCCTTCATATCTCCAATTTTCTTGAAAAGATCTCTGGTCTGTCCTATTCTATTGTTTTCTTTTATTTCTTTGCACTGTACTTTGCACTGAATGCATTTAAGAATGCATTCTTCTCTCTTCTAGCAATTCTCTGGAATTCTGCATTCATTTGGTTGTATCTTTCTCCCTTGTGTTTTGGTTTCCTTCTTTCCTCAGCTATTTGTAAAGCTTCCTCAGTCAGCCATTTTTCTTTCTTGCATTTCTTTTTCTTTGGGATGGTTTTAGTTGCTACCTCTTGTACAATGTTGTGAACCTCCTTCCATAGTTCTTCAGGCACTTTGTCTATCAGATCTAATTCCTTCAATCTATTTGTCACCTCTACTGTATATTCATTAGGGATATGATTTAGTTCATACCTGAATGGCCTAGTGCTTTTCCCTACTTTCTTCAATTTAAACCTAAATTTTGCAATGAGAAGCTCATGATCTGAGCCACAGTCAGCTCCTGGTCTTGTTTTTACTGACTGTATACAGCTTCTCCATCTTTGGCTGCAGAGCACATAGTCAATCCGATTTCTGTGTTGACCGTCTAGTGATGTCCATGTGTAGAGTCATCTCTTGGGTTGTTGAAAAAGAGTGTTTGCTATGACCATCGTATTCTCTTGATAAAAGTCTACCAGTCTGTGCCCTGCTTCATTTTGTACTCCAAGGCCAAACTTGCCTGTTATTCCGGTTATCTTTTGGCTTCCTACTTTAGCATTCCAATTCCCCATGATGATAAGGACATCATTTTTTTGTGTTAATTCTATAAGGTGTTGTAGGGCTTCAGAGAACCAGTCAACACCAGTGGTTGGGGCATAGACTTGGACTACTGTGATATTGAATGGTTTGCCTTGGATTCAAACTGAGATCATTTTGTCATTTTTGGGATTGTATCCCAGTATTGCTTTTCCTACGCTTTTATTGACTATGAAGGCTACTCCATTTCTTCTGAGGGATTCTTGCCCACAGTAGTATACCTGATGGTCAACTGAATTAAATTCACCCATTCCTGTCCATTGTAAGGCCTGGCCTCTCCCCCTTATTCAAGAATGTAAAGACTCTTGAAACTTGGCATTTCAAAAGGAACCTTTTATTGAATAGAGATGATAGCAGGGCAAAAGGAAAGCAGGCTCTGAGGGCTTTCAGGCCATGCAGTTAGAATAAAGGAATTAGAAACCTCTCCCAACAGTCCGATGTGGATTCAGCCAATCCACAGGTGCAAAGATGTTATTATACTGGCGCTCTGAGAAAGTGATAAGGGAATTTTCTCAGGGTCATCTTCCACTGGCTTTCAAGTGATGAAATCCACATGGCCCTCCCTCCCCTTACATTCCCCAAAAGGTGAGAAAATGCCAGGCCGCTTAGGTGCCAGGCTAGAAGGTATAAATCAGTAAGTTGCAGGATACAGGATATATCAGGGAGAAAGCCATAAAGTATGAATGCAATAATAAATGCAAGGGTCCCCCTCTTCCCCCTTGAGAAATGGCAGATTCATGGATCTGACATCCATTTTAGTTCACTGATTCCTAAAATGTTAATGTTCAGTCTTGTCATCTGTTGCTTGATCACATCCAGCTTGCCTTGATTCATGGATCTTACATTCCAGGTTCCTATGGAGTATAGATCTTTACAGTATCAGACTTTCCTTTCATCACTAGATACATCCATAGTTGAGCGTCCTTTCGGCTTTGGCCCAGTTGCTTCACTCTTTCTGGTGCTACTAGTACTAGCCCTCTGCTTTTCCCCAGTAGCATATTGGACACCTTCTGACCTGAGGGGCTCATCTTCCAGTGTCAATTTTTTTTGCCTTTTGGTACTGTCCGTGGGGTTTTCGTGGCAAAGATACTGGAATGGGTTGCCATTTCCTTCTCCAGTGGATCACATTTTATCAGAGCTCTCTGCTATGATCTGTCCATGCAGGGTGGTCCTGCATGACATAGCTCATAGCTTCATTGAGCTATGCAAGCCCCTTCGCCATGACAAGGCAATGATCCATGAAGGGGAGTTTCCAACTTACACTTTCCCAATTGTCCAAATTTTAGAGTCTTTTGTCTTTTCTTCTTTTTCTCTTTTTTTCCCTTTCTTTTTTGCCCCCTTTTTATCGTTTTTCTTTTTTTGCCTTGTAGGATGATCTATCAAATGATGTTAGTGAATCAAATCCAGCTTGGCCCACCAGGTTTCCTCAAATCTTTCAAATCCACCTTCAATAGTGGTTCAATAAAGTTTTGGTATTTATAGTTCAGTTGCTTTAAAAATCTTCAAACAGCTCAGTAGATATTTCCAAGCCTCCAAATCACCTACTAAGATAAAGTCAAGGTCAAATAGCCTTCCAAGTGTTGTTTGCTTTTTCTCCTTTCATCATTTTCAGTCAAATTTCCCACATTGCAGTAATCTTCTTCCTCCAGTAGATGGCTCCTCTGCTCCTAAAAGAGCTGATTGTCAGCCATTCAGGGGGGTTGAAAATATTTATTTATTTATTTATTTATTTATTTATTTATTTATTTATTTATTTATTTATTTATTTATTTATTTATTTTGTCGCATTTCTATGCCTCCCAACCCCCAAGGGACTCTAAACTCTGAAAATAGAGTTTAGAAAAGCAATTTCTCCCAATAATCACTTTTCACAATGTTGTTCAACTTTTTCCAGGGATTCTGTGTTTTAAAACATTCTTTAAATATTTCTTTTGTATCTGAGTCTTTAATCTTTAGTCTTTCTTTTTAATTTTTAGCCTTTAATTCTTCTCCATAAATCCAATCGCCGCTTTCTTACTATCTGGAGATTGTTTTTTAAATTTTTAATTTGAGTTAAATCTTTGGGGTAAAAGTTGGAAGTTATCTCACTCAGTTTCACTGCTCTGTCCATGCATCACTCCAGCACAAAATCTTAGTGTCTCGGTTGTCCCAGCTTGTGACAGACCAAAGTGGCCATCATCCCTGCTGCCATTCGGGAGAGCTTTCTTCAGAACAATGAAGAAATTGCTGTTTCCTCATGATTGATGAAGTGATTCTCCTTTCTTCACCACCCCTCCAGGGTGGCTTGACCCCATAGGGTATCCTGGCAAGCAGTTGCTGGCTGCATTTTACAGACCCCAGTGGCGCTCCACTATTTTCCAGCCATTCAAATGGAAGTCAGACCCAGTACTCTTCAATATCTTCATAAATGACTTAGATGAGGGAATAGAAGGGGAATTTACCAAATGTGTGGATGATACTAAACTGGAAGGAATATCTAACACCCTAGATGATAGGCTCAAGTTCCAGATGGTGTCAGGGTTCCATCTTTTGTATTAGGCCTTCAGACCTGCCAGATAGATCTTGATAGACTTGAACACTGGACCCTATCTAACAAAATGAAAAATGAAAAACAAAGTCCTGTGTGATGGAAAAGTTGGTTTACTAGATGCCACACTGGGGACCTCAGATTAATATAGTCAAAGTCATAAGCATTATTGTATCTTAATTGTGTACTCATTAGATCTTGCTGTTTTTCTATCAATGATGATTATCATATGTGGGTTTCCCATGCTTATTTACAGCATTACAAACTCAGTTATATACTGAAAGGAGTACTTTTGAAACACTTTCAAAATCACCTAAGCATGACCAATAAATTCAGAGAGAAACATATAAATATAACTGGGATATGAAATTCTGAATAAAATAGTCATAACTTTGGTGAAGTTATGGAAGACTTCATGAATTTGTGTGTGATCCCTTTGCAGAGGCCATGGTGATATTCTCTATACCATTCCAATTTTAGTATATATGCTGCCAAGGCGAGCATTATAAATTTTGGCTGGTTAAAATAAATCTGCTTTTATTGGGTTCAACCACAATAAATAGGCAAAACAGACCACTCTAGCCTTCAAGTTACATTCTTTCTGTTGAAAGCTATTCACAGTAATAAGCCAAACAATAAATTGTTAAGAATAAAAATCCTTAAGAAGGTAGAACTGGAAATGGATGGATAGTTTATGTTCCTTAAGACAGTGATCAGTATCATTAATTCACATGCTGGGATTCTGAATTAATATTGTAAATATCATCTTTCAAAGAAATTCTACTTGGAGCCCTAATGTGCTGTTATTTAATTGAGAATCAGTTCACAGGACTGGATGGGAGGGACTATAAGGTGAAAGGCTATGATATATTGGCAGGGTTAAGAAAGACTTCATAATTGTGTTACAGAAGACATTGATGATGACTTTTCAACTAGGAAGGATCCAAATATTAATGGACGGAAAAATACATTTTATTCAGGCATCCTGAACTGTAGATACATGATGCCTCCTATCTCTGATCCATTGTTAGCTGAAGGTATCCTATTTTACAACTAACACTTCTTTTAGCACTTTCAATTTTCTTTTTTAATTTTGGATTTACTTGAATTCTGACTTTTTTCAAACTACTGGTACTTGGACATCACAGCACTCATTCATTTTAATGCTATATTCCTATACCCAGGATGTTTCTCAGACACACTATGAACCATTGTTGGTACAGTATATGAATATCTGAATAATTCTACAAATAGCGCATTAGAGCTGTGGTGGTGCAGTGGTTAGAATGCAGTACTGCAGGATAATTCTGCTGACTGGTGGCTGCCAGCAGTTTGGCAGTTCAATTCACACCAGTTCAAGGTTGATTCAGCCTTTCATCCTTCTGAGATCAGTAAAATGAGGACCCAGATTGTTGGGGGCAATATGTTGACTCTGTAAACTGCTTAGAGAGGATTGTAAAGCACTGTGAAGGTATATAAGTCTAAGTGCTATTGCTATTGCTATATCCTTAGAAAATATGATCTACCTGGTCATTCTTTGCACTGATTTGTAGAGCGCTCCTCCTGAAGGCATACTTCTAAATTCCACAGCAATTCTTACTGGAAGCAATGTGCATATGTGAATGTATATCTTTAGCAGATCAAAATGCAAATTAACTCAAATTGAATTGTTTAAATTTGATAATACATTTAAGTTTAAAGTCAAATCATGGCTGATTTGAACATTCATGGTCATGTGTATTCAGACCTTTAGACTGATACCTGCCTAATTGACAAACTACTGCCAGTTATTCCTCTCCATAGGCATATAACTAAGGGGAGATATGGTGGGTGAGTAATAATGAAAAGACATAATAATATTGGGCTTAAATGCTTACATTAAATTTGGGGACTTCCAAGGCTTGGACTTCTGGTTTGGCATCCCAGAGAAGCAGTCAGGGAAATAGCGGGCTCTGATGAGCCCCGCGAAAATCCTGACTGACGAGCCGCTGCCGATGGGTCTTTGGACCAAACCTGTCTTGTAGGGACAGGGGAAGGACAGGGGCGCCTTGGATGGCTGAGAGGAACAGGCAAGTTCCTTGGAGGCTGGAGGGAACCCTCTGAGTCAGCGGCGGGGGGAGGCAGCTGTGGCGGCTGCCACGAAGCTGGGACAAACTGGGAAAGAATTGTGCAGGAGGAAAGAAGAAAGAAAGTACGATGTGCTTTGAAGCTGGGTGAGTGACACCTACCCAGGCGAGAAACAACCTTAGACTATGGACTTTTACTAATAAGACCCCCAGCCTTAAACAGCGGCTGTAGATTTGCGGGGCTTGAAGTTTTTGTAAAGTAACAATAGGGGATAATGACCCATTAAGGAATTTACTTTAGTACTGATTGTTTTGGACGAATTGGCTATTAACAAATTAGAAAACTGAGTTTTCCTTCAAATAGGAACAGATTCGATCTTTGGAAAAAGAGAAAAGCGACAAATAAGGATTTAACACCTTTAAAAGTTAGATGAAGCAAGGCAAACGGATGGTTACATAATTGCTACAAAATGGAGATTGCTATGACTAAGCGAAAGTGTAAATTGCAGAGACTCGCCTTCTGCTTGAAAAAAAACTACTTTGACTGGCTACTTACCTGGGATTACTTAGAAAATAACTATGGATTTTTGGATTTTGGAGATTCCTATTCTGCCTATGGGTAGTTTTATAAAGAAAGAAGAAATATAATGGAACTAATAAAATTGAAACTAACTGGCGCAGGGACAAAAGAAGTGGTGCAGGAACAAAATAAGGAAACTGATGGATTCTACATGGAACAGATTTTATAATAGAAGTAAAATGATATATAGAGTTTCAAACATGGATATACTGATTTTGAAGTGGAATACTTATGGACAGATAGGGAAATGAAGAAATAAAATAGATAAACTTAAAATGTAATGTTTAAATGTTTAAATGAGTTTTAAATATAAGCAGGAGGTGTCTATGGAGAAATAAAGATGGAAAATAAAAGAAGGTAACTAAAATAGAAATTTGATGTTAAGGTAGTTAAAAATGATATTTTTACAAAAGCATAAGAGTATATATTAATATGAGACAAACTTAAGAAAATTTATTAGACAATGGGAGAATAAGTGGAGAATATGTCTGATGCAATATGTTGTAATTTTAAATTGTAAAATTTATTAAATTATGGGAGAACAAGTGGAGAATATGTTTGATGTAACATGTTTTAATTTTAAATGGTAAACAAAGTTGAGAATGGTAAATATTATTACATGTGAATGATTAATGAACTATTGGATGATAAAATAAGAAATGCAGACTTAAGTAACAAATTGCAATTGAGTTTAATGTATGTTGGAAATGATCAACATTAAGAAATAGGTTGGGAAACCCCCTGGAAAAGTATATTTGGAAATAATTAAATAATAGATAAATATACTGAAAAGAAAACACTCAAAACAAGGTATGCTGGGTATCAGCCAAATAAGAGGTGGAGATGTGGAGGAGAATATGCTGGAAATCAGCCAAAATAAAATATGCTGGAAATCAGCCAAACAATAGCTGAAATATAGAGAAGAATATACTGGAAAATAGTCAAATTAATATGGGGTGAAAAAGAATATGTTGGAAGACAATTAAAATGAAGTGAAACGATTTTGAGATTATTCTATGTAAAATGAAATGTGTAATAAATTATAAGCTAAAGAAAATTAAGTGCAAATTGACAAAGTTTAAGATCTAAAGATTGGAGGAAATGGGTCCAGTCATTAAGAAATACAGATAGAATTTTGATTTATAAATTGAAATAAAAATAGAGTTGTATATATTGGAAATTAATTTGTGGTGATAAAATAGTAAGATAAATACTTAGATTAAGAGGTTATAATATTTCTTAAATTTGTGTTTTGATATTGATGTTAAAAGAAGTAATGGAGGAAATTTAGGAAAGAGTTAGAATGAACTTTGATTTATATTTGGATATAAAAATGAGTGGAGTTTATTTGGGAATTAACATTTGTGGTAATATAATAGTATGGCCTAAATTAAGATGTTAACATTGATGTTAAAATTTTTTGTTTTGATTTGTAATTTTAAAAGATGCAATGAGGAAATTTTGAATGGAGTTTGTTAAAAAATGTAAGCGATTGTACCTATTTATGACCAGATCAAGACTTCATTCTTAAAAGACATATTTTATATTTATGTTGGGGGAAAAAATAAAAAATATTTAAAAAAATAATAATAATATTGGACTTAAGTGCTTACATTAAACCTCAGGGGTCAAGTACATAATAGTAAAATTTGCATGAAAATCTAGTAATGTAAATGTCATTCTGGCATCATTGTGATGAATAGAATAGAATAGAATAGAATAGAATAGAATAGAATAGAATAGAATAGAATAGAATAGAATAGAATTCTTTATTAGCCAAGTGTGGTTGGACACTCAAGGAATTTGTCTTTGGTGCATATGTTCTCAGTGTACATAAAAAGACAAGATACACTCGTCAAGAATCACAAGGCACAAGACCCAGTGACAGTCATACGGTACAATAAGCAATCAAATCATACCAGGAAACAATCAATATCAATATCAATCGCAAGGATATAAGCAACAAAGTTATAGTCGTGCAGTCACAAGTGGGAGGAAATGAGTGATAGGAACGATGAGAAGACCAATAGCAATAGTAATGCAGTCTTAGTGAATAGTTTGACAGTTTGAGGGAATTATTTGTTTAGCAGAGTGATGGCATTCGGGAAAAAACTGTTCTTGTATCTAGTTGTCTTGGTGTTCAGTGTTCTATAGCATTGTTTTGAGGGTAGGAGTTGATTAACTGCAGATGCCACTATTTGGAGCAAACTAAGGAAACAGGCAAGAGAGGAGTGTTCAAATATTTCTGAAGAATGCTTTAAAACACTTCCCCTGATTTTTTAAGCAGTCTAACCCTCACCCCACAGAAATTGGCATACAAACAGATACCAGTTGTATTTAAATCTAGTATAAAATGAACGATAAACTGTTCAATATATGGAATCTTCTATGTGTACAGACTGATATTGATCCCACTTCAGTTGGCTGACACACTGGATTGCACTCATATAACATGATGTGTGAATGCATCTTCTATGGCTATAATGGTCCAGATTAAGCTGGATCACTAAATACTCAAAGCCTGTTCATAAAATAGGTATTGAAGAGTGAAATTGAGTTATTCAATATCTACTTAGAGTAAGGATCACACAATCTAACTAAGTCATTTTCTGACTGTGTATTTGTCATTTAAATTAATCTAAACCTAATTTGCATTCTTCTATTGTTTCTGCTGAGGACCCCTTATTAAAAATATGTTATTAAAATGAAAACATGTATTGCAGATAATTAGGAGCCCTGAGAAAATGTTTCTCTTTTTGTGAAGCAACCATACTATGGGAACACCTGTAGGAATAAAAAATGAAAGAAAGAACATTGGAAGAAAATCAAACAATGTTTTTTTTTAACCTACAAATAAT